TATTATTCTGTGTGTGTGTGTGTGTGTGTGTGTGTGTGTGTGTGTGTGTGTGTGTGTGTAAATTTTTCGGTTTGTATATTTGTAATGTGCGGCTATACGGTGAAATCGCATATCTTTAAAACTGTTTCCAAAAAAGCCGATCATTTATTTATCATACAAATGTTGTATGATTTAAGTTATCATTTATTTTTAAAAATGTTCTTCATTTGTTAATATTATCATATTATATATTTTCTTGCTAAAGCAAAAATTATCTTTAACGATACATAAACACATGATGATCGAATTATTGAACATCAATCATCAATTATAAAAATAACCAAGCGAAAATTCGAGATGTATTTCGGAAAAAGCACTTATTTTGTCAATTCCTCACATCCTTTTTGTATTTTTTCCAAATTTCACTAGTCACATTCCGTAACATAATATGAATGTATATTTAATTATGACAACTTCGGTTATGTACTGTACAAATTCAATAGGATTGCCATTATCAGTCCCAAGATCATAATTACGGTGGGATCACATGATTACATGAGGACAGTTAAGTATCTATGATAATTTTAAATAAAAGTTTTGAATTTCATCGATCAGATAGAAGAAGCATTCTCATTAAGATATGCAAAAAATAAAAAATAAAATCAAATAAATCAAATCTTATCATGATCTTAGTTATCAACTATCTCTTTTAAATATTGTAAAAGTTAATATTAACAATTCAGTATTTCCTTTTTTATCATAGTACGTATAAATTTTAATTTTTATTAAATATGGAAATGAATTATAAATGTATTAAAATGACTAAAGTAGTCTCTTTGTAAGACTCATTGATTTATAAACTCTTAACGAAAATAAACATAACTAATTTTAAATGACCTACTTTAAGTAACTATTTTTCTCTTTTACCCAGAATAAACATATTCTCATCTAATGTAACATAATTAATAATAAAAGTTTTTTTTATATGCATTTCCACCAGTTTCGTTCAAAATACTTTTTAATCAATCATATTATTTTTGATAAAATGATATTAAATTGGCAGATACAGCGAAACTGAACATTTGTTTGGAAGCATAAATAGAATTCAACGATACAAAATATATTTGTAATGTTGAATAGTCAGTAATCGTACTGTTTCGCTTTTTTCGTTATAAAATAGAAGACAATTTATCGGCAGAGAGCTTAATAATCAGTCAATAGCTCGAAGTAAAGAAGGTCGCGCAGAACTTAACACCGTATTTCTTTTATCATGATTATTTTATGAAATATTACCGAAATGTCAGTCATGATGTAGAAACTACTCTCTTTTTCATAATTGTACAATATATATATGATATATGCTTTTAGCAGTATAAAGAAATATATAATAAATTAAATGAAAGAAAACATATACCACAATTATTGAATGTCTCAATTATCGTTCGAAATCAGACAGTGTATATGATTTTACCAAAATTCCATGACTTATTCTTTTTTAAATTATTTTTGTATTACTAATATATTATAAATAATATATATATATTTATGATTATTATGAATTTATTACATTTA